CTTGTTGTAGTTTGGCAAATAAGACCAAGGTGTATGTAAATAAACAAAATTTACACCACCATAAATGTTCTTGTAAGATTTGGGAAGGAATGGTCACTTATGGGTGTTACGTAAAATGTGAACAATCCAAGTAAATATTCGTGTTTTTCTGCCTTGAATACTATAAGCCGTATATCATAATTTCACCATATTTCAATATTGGTGCGAGTTACATTACATTCGGTGAATGAATTCTAAAATACATTGCGACAGGACGGTTGTTTTACATTGGTCGTAACTGGTAAATAGCTTAATGGTTTTATTTGCTTAGTACAGTAAAAGCCTGTGAATTTGAGACTATTTAAAATAGAATTAAAGAATAACTTATATCTCATTTTAAATTTCTCAAAGTGTTTATCATGATCATATTTTGGTAACAGTTACTACATAATGAATTTTATATTTCTCAAAGTGTTTATCATGATCATATTTTGGTAACAGTTACTACACAATGAATTTTATATTTCTCAAAGTGCTTATCATGATCATATTTTGGAAACTGTTACTACATAATGAATTTTATATTTCTTAAAGTGTTTATCATGATCATATTTTGGTAACAGTTACTACATAATGAATTTTATATTTCTCAAAGTGCTTATCATGTTCTTATTTTGGTAAGAGTTATTACATATCTCATTTTATATTTCTCAAAGTGCTTATCATGATCATATTTTGGAAACAGTTACTATATAACGAATTTGTCCAAACTTACTAGGTTCTGAACATATACGATTTTTTGTTCACTAAGCATTTCTTTTTTTTTTATCGAACTCACTTGAAAATTAAACAAAGAAATTATATTGTTTTTCCTCTGTTGTAAACAATCAACAAGATTAGTTTGCCTGATAATTCAAACTAAATATTAAAATCTATATAATCCTAAAGTATTGATTAATTCAAAGATTTTGAAGCATGCTATTACAAACAAATTAAGTACATTAAGATAAGAATTCGCAATTATTTTTAATAAAGATTTAGATGTAAATAAAGTTTATATGTATGCGCTATTGATGTACTTCGGTAATTTACGATTGCTCAAAGAGCGTATATTATTTGATACACGTTTTGAATGCTTGGATTATTTATTTATTTTTTATTACGTTTGTTTGTTTGTTATGAATTTCGCGCAGAGCTACACGAG